TGCGCGAGGGTCAAGCTTTAAGTTACAGACCTGGCCCAGATCGCGTTGAGTTGTTTTCCCATGAAGTAACTTTGGCGCGCTATTACGTTTGCGATATCGAAAAATCGTGTTTCACGGCCCACCCTAATGTACAGATTACACCAGTGTACAATCGAACAGTTGCTCGTCACCTTGCTAATTTTAGCCGAGTAGGTGTCACGATAGAGAGATTTCACGAAAATTTGCGGAGACGCCACCGAGAACGTAGGACAAAAGATGGATGCTCATGGGTGTGTATGGTGGGAAACAGTTCTGGAGCTTTTTCCGATGAGCGCAGGAGCTGAAAACATAATGCCAGAAAACTAAGTGAAAACAAAACTTGTTCTGAAATTGCACTGTGATTCCAAACGCTCAACATTGCGCTGAGACGTTGAACAGTGGGGCATAACTTACGCGTGATCCATGGCAAGCACCAGAGGCCACTTGTAGTAGACCCCCATGCCTACACGGACAACTAGTGTCAGTGACGAGCCAAGAGCGCTCCAAAAAAATGCCCGCTCGGCCATCCTCCTGCGAACCGGCTTTTGACCTCTTGGCTCCCTTGGACCGACGGTTTGACTTCTCGGCACCTCCCTATTCAACAGAGTTCAGGGATAACGTTCTGTTCGAGGCTGCTCTAAAAACTCAACATTGGAGAGGAGTTTCCCATGCATCAGGTTGAAAAGTGAACATCCACCGGGAGCATGTCTGGAAGGCTCCTCTCAAGGAGCCTCAGCAACGCAACCTCATGCAAGGCACGCTCCAGGTGGTCTGTACCAGTGGGCCAAAAACCCCGCGGGGGACTGGTACGCATTTCTGCCAGACAGCCACTAGGGCAAAAAGCTATGGCAAATTCTGTAAAAAATATGTGATTATTCTCCGTAGCCCTCTTATCAATATTTTCCGTATTACCTTACAAACTGTATTCTCCGTGAGACCGTACAGTCTCCTCCATGACCCCTTGAGGTGGCCTCACAATGAGTGTCCACCCATGTCCGTCCTCCGATTTTTGGCACTATTTAAACCACATGTTACGGGAAATTTTTATGCAAATTACTTTCTTTACCATTTAAACCATCACATGTGAACTATTCTCAAGAAAACCCCAAATTTTTGGACGTGGCCTTACCTGACGGCCACCTTTACAGACTTTATAGTAGTTCTTTCGAGAACACTGTAAAGTCCAACGGAGGAAACTGTGAGATCCTACGGAAAATACTGTGAGTTCCCGCGGAGAATATTGATAGACTACGGAGAATCTTGGCAAACAAATTAAAAGAATTTTCCGTATCTTTTTTCTACAGTGGCAGCGGGCGTGTTTTTCAGGACTGCACATCTTTTATTTTGCACCGGGCTTCTGGCCCACGTGGTACATGGGGGGTCGAGGAATGCTCCAACATGAAGAATGCTATGCACACACTTCTGAGTTAGAGTTACGGGAAGCAAAATGTTCTGACATGAAAGCTCCTTTGATCTGACCTGAAGTGGCTTCGGAGACCGACGCATCCACCGCGCCCATATCCACATGCTCAACTGGCACACGGCAAAACACTGCAAGTCCACTGCCATAGACCACAGCTGGATAACACACTGCACAAAAGACAAATACCACGTAATGCTAAAATAGGGAAGGCACACAAAATACAAACGAACAAAAACACTCAAAAAGAAATGTCATAGGATGATTTTAAGGGGAGGTTCTGGTGAAAATCTCGCTATTTTCCAAATGGATTCCACTGTCACAGTTGGTTCGGAATATAAAATCTTTCTTTGAGGAGACTAAAATTTGACCTTTGAAGGCACATGCCAGTCTCTGAACCCAGTCGAAGAGTCTTTTTGAGCCTATTTTGGCTGTATCTTTAAAAATCTTCTTGCGCATACTATTTTGTCAAAGGTTGACCTTGACATTTTTCACTTCTTTGATTCATTTTCAAAAGATGCCGGCATGCATAGCTCAAAATTTCCATTACATTATTAATTGTAAGCTTTTTAAGCTGAAAAGTCTCTAAAATTTGTCTATTTTGTACATCTTTGGTCAATAATAGTGAAATGCTTGGTTAGAAAGCTTGCGAATAAAAATGTAATTTACGTTTTGAGTTCTGCATGCCGGCATCTTTTAAAAATAAATCGAAGAAGTGAAAAATGTCAAGGCCAACCTTTTACGACAAAATAGTATGCGCAAGAAGATTTTTATAGCTATAGCCTTAAAAGGAGAAAAAGGATCTGCGACTGGGTTCAGCGCACAGAATGTGCCTCCCAATTGAAAAATTTTAATTACTACTTGGTAAGACATCAAATTTTTAACAAATTTTCACAGTGGGACCTATTTAGAAGAAAATAGCATTTTCACCAGAACCTCCCCTTAAAGAGATGATAGGCATATGATCAGAAACTGCAAACTCACAGTACTACTCCTGTTTTATTTTAACGCATGGCTTTATCACGAAATTGAGCGTACGCATGAGATGCCTGAATTAATGCGCAACAACGAACATTTTTGTTCTGTTAAATACGAACTCGTACATGTTAGAACGAATGCGTCATTTTGTTGAAAGTTATGCACAAAATACCACACAGTGACACGTAAAAAGTGGTTTGGAGACGCGATATTGTAAAGCTATCCCTCCAGCTTAGTGCGGAACTCACAGTGGGCGCCCCCCGGGGCCCGAAGTTGTTGATATACAGGAGGGTGCGCCACCACGCCGCCCGGCAGTCGTCGCGTTCGAAGTCCATACGCCACCGCCCCCCGGGGCCGCTGCTCCACGCGGGCAAGACCACAGCCTGCACCACGTCAGGGCCGCCAGTTGCGGCAAAAACCTGATTCCATGCGGCAATGCCCAGAAATGTATCAACGTGTGCCGGTCACTGAAAACTTTTCCCCGGGTTACCACAGTGCTGACGAAAACCCAAATTCTGTCATGTTTGATTTCATCTGCATCTCAGCAAGGCAAAGAGCTAGAGCTTGCTTGCATGCACTGCTAGGAATATAGGAGATTCCACACGGAAAATGAATGCATAATCTAAAATAAGTGCTTTTTCAGTAAGTTCAATTTGTGTGCTGTAAAACCTGATCGCTCGCCGGAGGGGTGCAAGAAGGCGTGCATCGTGTCCTGCGCGCACCATCAGGAACCCGGAGAAGAAAAAAGTGCACCATGCCATTGTGAATGCAGTCCGCATCCACGCGACCAGTAGAGGAGGACTACCGTCCGCCAAAAGCACATTAACAGAAACGCGCATACTTTACTCTAAGAGTCCTTGATGGGTTGGTGATGAATAAACTCGAAAAGGGGGCCCAAAAATAACCGTAACTTTGAATACATTTTCTTTTCCCCGCCCAAATCACGAATTTGTTGACATACCGTTTGTCTTGTCGAGATCAATTTATTGTATTTGGGGATATGTCTACTTCGGCAACTTCAAAAATTCAAGACATGGAGAAGTCTGCTATGAGAATGCAGAGAAGACTGAAACGTCTAGGTAAAAAATTGACAAGACAGCTACGGAAACATTTGGGTTTGAGGTACGGAGAGTCAGTGAGCTAATTTATATAATACGTGCAACGCCTTCCCATGACCCCCTCCGATTTCGACCAAAATTTTTTTCTGAGATGCCCTTATGGTAAGAAAAAACATCCTAGAATTTTAGGTCGCTAAAAATTTTTTGGCCGAGAAAACACGGTTTTCAAAATTTGCCAATTTTTTTACTTAATTTGGGAGTTTCTTTACTACTCTGAGGTTTTTAGTGCTAAGTGGCTGAAAATTGGTATTCTAATGTAAAATTGCCCAGGGAACAAGAATATGGTCACAGATTTGACCTCCGACCAATATCTTGAGAAATACTTACCCAAAACGACCAAATTTTACCGAAAATACCCAAATCTTGGGGAAATGGTCATAAATATTTTTTATCCACGATCCGTTGACGCAGTCTTGTAAAAAAAGGCTAATAAAGCCAATGAGCACACCCCCAGGTTCCTAGCTCAAACCGTTTAGAAGCTGTAAGGCGTCAAAGTTGGAGGTTTTTTGAGGGGGCCTGAAAACCGGCACTTTTGACCTCCTCGCTCAATGTCCGGCACCCGAGCCGTACCAGCCATGATCGTTGCTTTCGAGGGGAGGTCTGCGTGCGCAATGGGAGTCAAGAAGAGGGTAAAGCGGCACAGCGTTTCCGAACAGCGTCCCCTTTTAGAGCGCCTGAACAGCCGAGGGTTGATAAGCTCACCAAAGGGCGCTTGGGAAGCCTCGCGCCGCTGCACCGTGGGCTCGCTGACAATGCCATTCGGTTTAAGTCTAATACTGTCGCCCTCGACAAGCTTCGGATTCTGTTGGCTGCCCCCTTCCTTCTCTTTCCCACATGGTCACCCCGTCGCCCGCGACCCCTCAACCTGCCCCCAATACTGGATATATTGTGTGTTGTTTCGGATGAATTTCACGGAGGCTGTCGCCCTTTTGGGAAGCTTTCTTCGGAATCTGTCGGCGTTTCCCCCGGTGGTTTTCTCCCTTTCCCAACCCTAAGGGGTCGAGGGCGAGGGGTTTGAAAAGTTGGGAAAGGGTGGAAAACAGCAAGGGCAGCGGTTCTCAACCTTTTTCGGCTCCCGACCCAAAAATGGCTGCCAAAAATTTTCGCGACCCCACAGCCGTAATGTCGCGACCCAACGCGACCCATGACCCCCCCCCCCCCAAAAAAAAAAGAAAATTATTTTTTTAAAATGTTTAAATTGCTTTTTGTTTAGCTTTATGTCTTTTTGTTGTAAATGAAAGAAAGGTTAGTTTTCATAGCCTTATTTGACTTCAAGTGGCTGCCCTGAGCCTGCATTCTGCGCACCAGCTTGTCGATGCGCGGTTCGGTATTTTGCGTCACCGCCAAGCGTAGATCTCCTTTAACATCCAGCCTGTTTCTGTGTTTGATTATTAAATAGACCATGTCAAAAATGACGATTCAGACAGGTATGTTGTAGCGAAGGGCAGTAGGACACGTACGGCCCACGTACGGATACGTACCCGCCATGCCCCGGCCTCCCCAAGCACGGCAGCAGGCCACCCGAGCCGAGCCGCCGCCCCGGGCCGCAGTGAAACTTTTCTGCAAGCGACTGTACTCAACAACTGATGTCAAGGGGCCCCCTTTTTCCCTGTAAAAACCCTCTTCCCCCCTTTTTGCCGTAAACAGATGCTAAGACGCATCCCACTGCCAAGGCAGACGCAAACAACTCTGGGATTTCCCTTCGCGGAAGCGCCAATACCGTAAGGTGCCAGGGACCACTGGTGACCCAGGTATACGCTTCGCGACCCAAGGCGACCCCCGTCACCACGCCGCGACCCAAAAAAAAAATTTCCGCGACCCAAAATGGGGTCGCGACCCCAAGGTTGGGAACCGCTGAGCAAGGGGCAGCCGAAGACTTGCGATTCTCTTCCGAACCCTCCTGACGGCGACAGCTTGAGACCATAACCGAACAAAAGCTTGAAATTCGTCTGAAACAACACACAATTTATCCAGTGTTTGGGAGGTTGAGAGGAACCTCCCAAACACTGGATAAATTGTGTGTTGTTTCAGACGAATTTCAAGCTTTTGTTCGGTTATGGTCTCAAGCTGTCGCCGTCAGGAGGGTTCGGAAGAGAATCGCAAGTCTTCGGCTGCCCCTTGCTGTTTTCCACCCTTTCCCAACTTTTCAAACCCCTCGCCCTCGACCCCTTAGGGTTGGGAAAGGGAGAAAACCACCGGGGGAAACGCCGACAGATTCCGAAGAAAGCTTACCAAAGGGCGACAGCCTCCGTGAAATTCATCCGAAACAACACACAATATATCCAGTATTGGGGGCAGGTTGAGGGGTCGCGGGCGACGGGGTGACCATGTGGGAAAGAGAAGGAAGGGGGCAGCCAACAGAATCCGAAGCTTGTCGAGGGCGACAGTATTAGACTTAAACCGAATGGCATTGTCAGCGAGCCCACGGTGCAGCGGCAGCGAGTGCTTCCCAAGCGCCGTTTGGTGAGCTTATCAACCCTCGGCTGTTCAGGCGCTCTAAAAGGGGACGCTGTTCGGAAACGCTGTGCCGCTTTACCCTCTTCTTGACTCCCATTGCGCACGCAGACCTCCCCTCGAAAGCAACGATCATGGCTGGTACGGCTCGGGTGCCGGACATTGAGCGAGGAGGTCAAAAGTGCCGGTTTTCAGGCCCCCTCAAAAAACCTCCAACTTTGACGCCTTACAGCTTCTAAACGGTTTGAGCTAGGAACCTGGGCGTGTGCTCATTGGCTTTATTAGCTCTTTTTCTACAAGACTGCGTCAACGGATCGTGGATAAAAAATATTTATGACCATTTCCCCAAGATTTGGGTATTTTCGGTAAAATTTGGTCGTTTTGGGTAAGTATTTCTCAAGATATTGGTCGGAGGTCAAATCTGTGACCATATTCTTGTTCCTTGGGCAATTTTACATAAGAATACCAATTTTCAGCCACTTAGCACTAAAAACCTCAGAGTAGTAAAGAAACTCCCAAATTAAGTAAAAAAATTGGCAAATTTAGAAAACCTGTGTTTTCTCGGCCAATAAATTTTTTAGCGACCTAATATTTTAGGATGTTTTTTCTTACCATAAGGGCATCTCAGAAAAAAATTTTGGTCGAAATCGGAGGGGGTCATGGGAAGGCGTTGCACGTATTATATAAATTAGCTCACAGTGATATTTTGAGTTTGAATTGCGACTTACCGGAGCTGCGAACGAGTTGGCTCCTACGGAGAGGGCTTCTTGCAACAGGAAATGGTGGAAGACAACAACAACGACACACATGTATGTCTTAAAGCCTGCCAATCCAGGAATCGTGCCACTTCCCATGGGCTTCGTCAGATCAGCCCATTGGCGGCGCATCGAAAATGCAGACAGAACTTGCAGCCCTAAAATAGACCACAAAGGGAGTGGTTTCACAATTTACAAGCTACACTGAGAATGAAAAGGTCTTGATTAAGACCAAATTCTTGGTGAGGTATACTTTATCACCCAAAGCCAAGGTTTCCACACCCCAATTTACGCGATGAAGGATGTTTCAGCTGCATGGGATACATGGTAAGGTCGTACTATCACCCAAATTTGGGTAATTATGGTTTTCTGGGTGATAAAATTATTCTCACCCAAATTTGGGCGATGAAGAATACCGCAACCAAAAGTTTAGTCATTCATTCTCAGTGCAGAGCTGTGCGGGTATGATAAATGATTCTCCGAGTTGCAGGCCGCAAGAGTTGGAATGTACGACAGTACCTTGAAACTTCTTCAGGTCAGCTACTCCATTTGGATCAAGCATGCTGCCAGCGAGGACCAGCAACCCGATGAGCACTGCTACACTGCAATAAGAATAGAAAAGTACTTCCACCTTCGGTACACTGCAATTTGGATGGAAAAACTTCACGCCAAAATATGGGCGAGACATTAAAGTCTCGCCAAGATTTGGTCAGACCTGAAAGTCTCGCCAAAATTTGGTCAGACAAAAAAGTATCGCCACTAAACGGTCAGACACAAAAGTCTGACCCCAAAATGGTGAGACTTTTGTGTCTGACCACGGCCTTTAGGCCGTAACCATCCGGCGCATTACGGCCTTGCGGTGGTGGTCAGACACAAAAGTCTCGCCATTTTGGGGTCCGACTTTTGTGTATGACCGTTTAGTGGCGATACTTTTTTGTCTGACCAAATTTTGGCGAGACTTTCAGGTCTGACCAAATCTTGGCGAGACTTTTATGTCTTGCCTCTGGAGTGGCGAGAAGTCTGACCTTTTGGATTTGCAGTGTAATGACAGGATTCTGTCTACAACATTCATGTGAGTCAGGAAGAGACACCTATGCGGTAAGGCATGAATATCATCCGTTTTACAAGCTTTATCCATCCGTAAAAACTGCGTTCGAACAAAACTGTCCGCAGTACGGATGCTTGTGTCCGAAAGAAGCTAAGCGACTTTAGTGTGTCGAAGATATGCAACAAACTTGTTAAGACGTCACATTCGTTGTGTAGTGTAGGCAAGTGTAGGCCTCCCAAGGAACATTCTGGATCCGCGCTTGCACGAAAAACCTTAACTGCACTGGTAAAACTAAAGCGTAGTATTACCCACTGTTTTCAAGCGTAATCAGTTTACGCTTGAAATCAAGCGTAACAGGCTCATCCGCCAAGATTCCCCCTATCTAAATGCATGGGGGAATTTCTAGCCTATGCTTGATTTCAAGCGTAACGTCTTCAAGCATAACTTTATGCTTGACTCAAGCATAGAGTTACGCTTTAGTTTTACCAGTGTGGCTTGCAAGTAAACACTTACAAATTCTTAGGCCAAGTACACACTTACATATGCATCTGCATGGCATGGAGTTATACGGCGCCAAGTATGCATTTGTAAGTGCGCTGCCAAGCATGCATTCGTGTGTACTTGACCGCGTTCGTAAGTACAGACAGTTACGTCTGTAAGCCGACTCACCCCGCGAGGACCATCCTGGTGCTGCTGCCGTCCGTGACGTGGTGGCGGCCGGGTGCAGAACTTGGGGTGCTCCACCGCCGCGGCCCAGCGCACGTCCCCGTCCGACTGGGGATGGCGCCGCGCCGCGCGGTTCACGGCCTCGGCGGAGCAGGACGCCGGCAGGCACACGCCGAAGCGCAGCCTGCCCAGCGGGACCACGGCACGGTGCTGCCCGTGGCCCTGCGGTCGGGAGAGGGAAGGTTGCCTCAGAGAGCGCTAACGCAAAATTTCAATGGGAACCTACTTCAATGGGAAATTTGTACACATTAATTCGTGGGATATCTTAGCTGCTGGTCAAAATTCTCCGAAATTCATGAAATTAAGTCGACAAAATAATTAAAAAATTACTGAAGAACATTCCTAAATTCGTGGAGTTTTTTACTTTCAAACGTGACACGCACGTGGTTCACATTGGTAAGCGTGGAATATTATTGGATCACGATACAGTGAGACTGGGTAAGCTTTCATCACCCAAATTTAAGCGATAATAATCCTTTCCGACTATAGAGTGATAAGGTTCATCTGACCCCAAATTTAAGTCATCACACTAAATTGCTTCATACTTTTAGTGCGCACATAGGTTTTGCACAAGATCGAGCATGCGTGTGAAACGCGTGAATACGCGCATTTCAAAACGCATGCACACTTTTGTGCAAAGGTTATGCACGTAAAACTACTTAGTAATTTAGTGTGCTGCTGATGACTCATTCATCGCGAGTGGCACGTGAGGATCGATGCTGAGAGGTCGGCCAAGACCCCCCTCTTACTTAAAATGTTAATAACCCCAACCCCAACACTGTGGCAAAAAACTACGGAAAATTATGTAAACAGCTTGTGGTAATTCTCCGTAGCCTTCTGGTCAGTATTCTCCGTAGGCTCTTACAGTATTTTCCGTAGGACCGCACAGTATTCTCCGTAGGACCTTACAGTGATCTCCCTAGGACTATACAGTCTTCCAGGTCCTACGGAGAAGACTGTGCGGTCCTACGGAGAAGACTGTGCGGCCCTACGGAGAATACTGTAAGAGCCTATGGAGAATATTGATAAGAGGGCTACGGAGAATCCTGGCAAAAAAATTAACAGAATTTTCCGTACCTTTTTGCCACAGTGCGAGTGCGCGGCATCGCACGTATGGTGCGCGATGACATGGTAACTCGCTTGGGTCAAGCATAGACAGACATGCACTTGAAGATGTTACCAGGGGCGTAATTAGAGTCGACTAAAAAGGGGGGGGGATACGTTACATGATGCATACCTTTAGAGGCAAACTTTGTCAGTTTCATAGTGATGCATCAAAACAGTACGGTAAATATTAGCTCAATTACACAGTACCATATCGTTAAAGTTTCGTTAATTGCGTAAACAACGTCTACGCATCAATACAATGAAACAATCCGCGTAAAAGCCGAAATTTTTGTCTCATGCTTCTTAACGGAAGAGCCTCTTACGCTTGATTTCAATCGAAAACTGCACTGTAAAAAATTATTGTGAATTTACGAAATTTAATTTACAAATTCCTTGTAAAGTAACAATAACATTTCGTTATATTATGAAATTTATTTGTAAAGGCCGATTTATGGATTATTCATCACAGAAATCTTCTTAATTTTATGAAATTTGTTTGTGAACATCGCTTTATGAAATGGTACGAACTAAATACATCTCAAAAGTGACGATATTACTACAGTTAGGTCACAGAAATATGAAATGTTTCCTAAAATTACAACAAATCCATGGGTAATTTCGTTGCACAAATCGCTTGTAAAATTACGAAATAGGGTGATGCCTTCGTCATTTTACAAGATGTCTCATAGAACTACAAGATATTTCATAGAACAAAAAATTCCACTGAAACAAGTTTATCTTCATTTAATCAGCGTGACAATGTTGAACAAAAGTGGTCCACGTAAATTGAAACTTGTAAAAAGTTTGTGATTTTACAAACTACTGCGTGAAGAAAAATTCATAAATCGATAAAAACATAAAAACGTTGTATATTTACAAATAATTCGTGCAACGAAATTACCCCTAATTTGTTTGTAAATTTACGAACAAATTTTTTATTTACAGTGTGATAAAGCTTCAAAACAGGGGGTCAGATGTTGATTTTGGTTTTACCAGGCTATTGCTGTGTTCATAGCATTTGGAATCACAGTGCCCTACCTTCATCATGGCGTGGACGTTGGCGTAGGGGCCCACGTGATCCACGGTGCCCCAGGCTGCGGTCCCCGAGGCGGTGGAGGGGCGGAAGGGGTCGGTGCGCAGCGTCACCAGGCAGTACTGCGGCTCCACGGGTGCAGCGGTGGCGTGCGGCCAGGCCAAGCCCAGGCACTCGTCGAAGTCGCCCAGGCTGTCCGTCACGCCGCGCAGCAGGCCCGGCGAAGGGCCCGCGCTGCTGGCGTCCAGCACTGGGAGGGAGAGGCCATGCTCAAATCTTGCGCCTATGTCTAATGATCGTCGTGGAATGTCCTAGCTTGGAATTCCCACGACATTCACAGTGTGCAAACTTTATATGACTTTTACCGAAGGGCAAACAACTTCAAAAACTTTTGTACACCGTTCTTCCAAGTTATTTCACGTTATTGCACTTACTTCTAGACATTTGCCAGATACATCACGTTATTTCGCATTATCTAAGGTTATTTGCACGTAATTTCATGTCACGCTTGGTTATTTCAAGGCAAACGTACACAAAAATTCAAAAAGTCAACCTAACCTAGCCTCGGCATTTGTGATTTTAGACCGTACTGGCTGCATCACTGCTAGAAAAAACCAAAACAAAAGTACAGAAATTTCTGGCACATTTTTTAGTAATAACTTATTGTACTTTCAAAGTCTAACAATTGTTGTACAAAGTACAATGAAACCAGCATGACGAGTGCTGTGCAGTCCAGGCCTCGTTGTGGTTTGTACATTTCTCGTTGTACTTTATGCAATCCCTGATGTTCCTATTTTATACAGTTTTTGTTGTATTGTTGTTGTCCCATTCACACTTTCTTCTGCACTGCAATGTGCTTGCAGGCCTGCTCCACCTGATCTAAGAGGACTTCCCGAAGGGTTTTTGGAGCTGCCAACCTGTTCTCTGTGGTTCACTGTCATGGACTTACTTCTCGCGGCCCAAGCCGAGTGGTTGTGAAAATGTTCCATGACCAGGCGGCTATCCGCAGCGCACTGTCGATCCTCGGGGTGGATGTCTGCCTCGTCAGCCACGTCGGCAAGCCAGGTCCCGATCCACGATGGCCAAGGGACCAGACGGCTGGGAGCGAGCTGCCCTGCAGCCAGCGCACCTAGCGATCACAAAGAAAGGCTTGAAGATTCGGCTTCGCCGCGAACATTCAGACGCAACGTTCGCCGAGAAGAGCCCCAGGATTCCGGCTTAACCTGACATTCACGGAGAGCGAAGCCTCAAGATGTAGCCTCACCTATAACTAGATCGTTCACAGACTCATGATTCAGGTTCACATAATCACATAAGACGTTCAAAGAGAAAGGTCTCGGGATTTAGCTTCGCATATAAAAGGGTCACAGAAGGCCTCCAGGTTCAGCTTCACGTTTAACATTCACGATGAAGGGCCTCAAGACTTGACATCCAAGGGAGCCAGGCAGCCGCATCGATAACAAAGCACCTTCCTTTCACTGCAGAACTTTGATGAACTGACGGGGCTAACGGTTAAGCCGTATTCCACCTCCGAAATCTTTCCCCGAAAAGGCTCAAGATCTGAAAGAGCCTGAAATCCGGCGAAATCCTACGAAATCTTGTGCGTGCTGCAGAAATCTAAACTGAAAACTTGAGTGTACTGAGTACATACATAGGTTCTCAGTGTAGTACATCCAAAGTAGTTTTCCCCTCGCAATGAACATGACCATTGAACATTTCACTCACCTGGTGAGAGCAGCATCCACACGAGCAGAAGCATCTTGGTACAATGCTGACTCGGAATGCTCTGAGTGGAGCTGATACTGCCAGCCCCGTCTGCCTTCTCAATCGATTCACGACGATGCCGATATTATATAGCGCTTTCCCCTTTCTCCCCAAATAAAGCTCGACGCGGGAATTGGAATTGTAATACGATAACCTCTGCCGACGTGACTTAAAGAAACGACTCCGACAGTCGTCGACTCTTGCACTCACGTCACGTGACCCTGACCCATCCGGAGAAAGCTCAGTTTTCTGATTTGAAACGCTTCTAATCCTTGCTAAAGAGTCGTACAGAGACCAAACATTGCGGGAAAGTCAGTTAATTTTTATTTGCCATGATATCCCCACTCTCAGCCTCTTGTTGACTTTATCGTCAGTAACTAGGTACTGCAGGCTACAACAATAATACTTAGTATTTACTTTTTAGATACAAACAATTTACTGCATAAAATTATGTAGGAATTTTTTTGCCAATACGTACTAACAAAAATGCAGATAATACGAACAAAATTCCAAAGTACATATGTCTGTTGCACAAAAACCAGAGGTACTATCGACAAAATGTCAATACCATGTGGTAACAGTCATTGTCTGTCTGAGAGTGCCCTCCACTGCGTATAGGATTTCTGACTAATTACTTTCCGTTTAAATGGAAAACAGAGATATCTCAACTTTTCCTAAACTAAGTGGAATTTGGAGACAAGTGGAACTATAGTCAGCAGAGAGTGTTGGTCCATCTGGTGCATCTTTTGGACGTACACTGTCAGAAAATTCCGAAAAAAAAATGGAAAAATCATGGAGTTTTTCCGAAACTTTTGCATGAAGCTCTCCATAAATGCAAATTCCGGGCTTTCTCCGAAAATTTTCGGAATTTTGAACAAAAATGCATGCTTCACACTGTGGCAAAAAGGTACGGAAAATCCTGTTAATTTTTTTGCCAGGATTCTCCGTAGCCCTCTTATCAATATTCTCCGTAGGCTCTTACAGTATTCTCCGTAGGGCCGCACAGTATTCTCTGTAAATCCGCACAGTCTTCTCCGTAGGACCTCGAAGACTGTATAGTCCTACGGAGATCACTGTGCGGTCCTACGGAGAATACAGTGCGGTCCTACAGAAATTACTGTAAGAGCCTACGGAGAATATTGATAAGGGGCCTACGGAGAATTACCACAAGCTGTTTACAGGATTTTCCGTAGCTTTTTGCCACAGTGCACTATCACGAAAAAAGGTTTGCAACCAGTTAAAAAATGAGGGAAAGGTAAACCCCTACTTGTTTACCTCAGTTTTCATAATATTAAGGGTAAGCTACAGGATATAAGTCAAATGAGCTCGAAAAAGATTGTCCCTTCTTTGACCATTTCAGACTAAAGAACGCTTCAGCGAAGCCCTCTTTAACCATTCTGAGAAAAGACATGCATTTTACCTCCCATCAGGACCCAAGTAATGCTCCGAAGAACATCTGTTTAAGCCCTGGGAAAATCTCTCCGAAAAAAAATGGAAAATGAATGGCGTCTCCATGTACGTGATTATAGGGTTTTTCTCCATAAAATTTCGGAGCTAATTTCTAACAGTGTAGCTCTTTTTGGCCCGCCCTTCTATTCAAAAAATAGGGGGAGGGCCTATGCATTTGCCTTTGTGTCTGTGTGTTGTTGTTGTTGTTGTTGTTGTTGGCGTCTGTGTACAAGGAAGGAGTTGAGCTAGAGTAACCAGATTTGGAGGGTACTTCAGGAGTACCGTCCAAACAAATAATCCGGTGGTGCAAATCCCGTCCGGGTCGCACAAGGGCTGCTGCAGGTGCATCATGGTTTACATGAGCGGGAGGGGGATTTCCGCCATTATTGGTGCTAGCAGGGCACATAGGGGTATTTTTGGAATCGGGGCGACGAGACAAGATGAATGGACCTGGTCCCGACCCCATCGGCCGCTTTTACAAGTTGGCCAGATCAGGATCTTCAAAAAAGGGGGTCGACCGACTAAAAAAATTTATTGCAGATTTCGATTGGTCTCAGCAAGACGTTTTCAACAAGGGGTCGGAAAGGGGGTCCAGGAGCCCGACTTCGTCTATTAGTCACATCAGGATCTTGAAAAAAGGGGGTCGACCGACTGAAAATTTTTACTTAGGTTTTGGATAGGTCTTGGCAAGACCTCTTCAACGAGGGGTCGGAAGGGGGGTCCAGGAGCCCGCCTTCATGAGTTATGGGAAAAAGTGCGACGGACTCGTTTTGCGCTCCTGCTGTGCCTCTATTGCCAGGAGTTGCAGTAGCATGGCAACTATGGGTATTTTCGGAATGAGGGCGAAGAGACAAATGAAATGGGCATATTCTAAGGACAGTTGGAGTAAAAAGTGTAAGGACTACTGCATATTAAGAATAGAAGGGCGGGCCTAAGTCACGATGGTACATCGATAACTTTGCTTTACCCGCTCACGGGGTGTGTGATGCGAGCGGGCCGAAGGCCCGGGCCTTCGACTGGTCAAGTTGGGTCTGATGCGAGGGCCGAAGGCCCGAGGAAAGGCCGCCGGCAGGCCAAGCTGGGCCGGCCCCTTGTCGAACCGAGTTGCCGGCGCAGCGAAGCGGAGCTGGCAACTCGGTTCGACGGAAGGGCGGGCCCTAGCTTGTTTCCGTTGAAGTTCAAAACGAAAGGGGGTTACACTGTGAGAAAAAAGTACGGAACATGTCTGGTCAATAATTTGCCTGGACCGTCCGTACTTGCCAACTACGGAACGTTCCGTACTTTTTTCCGTACTTATTTACATTGGTTCATATGGAGCAAGTACGGAACGCTCCGCACTTTTCTCCGTACCTCCGTACTATATTTTTCTGTTCCATTTCTGTACAAAAGTACGGAACTTTTACAGTGTAAGTTAGCCTTTTTGTTATCGATACTTAAAAAGGTGATTTATTTCCTATTAACAATATGTTTAACGGAGTCATGTTGACTTGATCGAGTTGTTTCCATTTTCCGCTAAATTGAGAGTGTAAAAGGGGTAAAGATGAGTTATATCTTTTTTCAAAGTGGATTTTCTCCTTGACTGCTTGGAATTGAGTCAAATAGTTTGGTGCCATGATGCAAACCACTTAAGGCCCAACGATAGAAGTTCTGAACGCAAAGATGTGACTAAACTGAGTTTTTCCCACTTTGTTTCGGGCATCTGCAGGTCGTCAGTTTGCCGGATCGCTGGCGGTGGGACCTTGACCTGCCTCACTGATGCCACCGATGACGATATTCGTCGTTTAGCACTCGATTCACGCGTCACCACCTCAGCCGTTCGACCTGCTCCCGGGAGCAATGACTCCGTACCCGAAATGAGCGGGGTTCTCTAAACAGATATCTGAACACGAAGTAAATGTGACAGGGCAGGTACAATAATACTTTTACATTCTTATTCCACTGTCTGCCAACATTTCATTCAACTGTCTGCCATTGCCATTAATCCTTATCTCTTGGGGTTCCACTTGATCGACTCATCGGTAGCTACAGCTTTCTGTGAGAAGTCTGTGGTGTTTCTCAATTCTCGGTTTCAATTTCTCATTACTTCAACAAGAGAACAACTTGGTTGTCACTAGAGTTCTGTAGGTTTGTTCCTGTCCCTTCACTATGTTCCTGGATGGCATGGAATAGCCCCTTACCTATCTCTTTTGAATTAACTTTTTTAAAGAATTTAGGGTTTCATGTTCATATTTTTTGAAAGCACTACGTAGTCTTCTAGTAGCCCCAGAATTCAGCCTCGCCGAGATTTCATTCAGAAATTTTCCATAGGATTTTGATGAGACTTTCTTAAGTCGTAGGACTTGAAACCGTGGTTAGCCCAACTGGCGTGGCTGTCTAACTGGCTTGCCTACTCTCAGTTTCACAGGCGCTACGGCTATATCCCTCTTTTAGAGAGATGCATTCTCTATTTTAATATAAGGAAGCTACAATTAATCCAATGTTTGATTGAATTTTCAATCCTTTTTAGAAATTAAACAAATTTTCAATTTTTTCTCCAGACTATCACCATTCAGCATCATCCTCACTACCAGCAGCAAGCATTTCAACAGCAGCAGCCATATCCAATCCAGCAGCAGCAAATGCCATCTGCATATCAGCCTCAGCCGTTTGAGTACCAACAGTATGGTTATGCTGGTTACAATGGTTCCCCTCGGCAACATCAGAATCAAGTTGTCCAGGAAGAGTCTTCCCGTGGGCCCCTTTCCTTGGATACCAAGCATCTTGTTTGTTTTAAGAGCTAAGCCCTGTGTTTATGTCTTGTTTTTATATTTGGACCATTTTTAGTAGCTAGTTTTTGACGGTTTTATTTTTTTTTTTTTTGTGTTTTGGTCAAGCAGGGACCTTTTTTTATTTTAGTTCTGAAGATTACATGCTACTTGGGTTTTTTCAGTTTTGGACTTCATCGATGATTTAAAGATGAACATTTAATGCACTTTTAGATTTTTATTGTTCCACCCCTTACCCTTCTCATGGGACCAAGTACCGCAACTGAAACACGACGTCGTACCACCACCCTGGTGGCCCCTGGGCCCGCCCCTACCGCCGCCCCTACTCCCTATTCTACCGCCCCCCCCACCCCCTACCGGTTCTCTTGTAAAGGGATTTCAGAAGGACTTCAAGAGGACATGAAATGTCTTTTTTTAAAGGGAATGTTTGAGGATCATCCCGAGCTCAAAAGATTTAAACCTAACACAAGTCCGTTTGGCTCCTGCCGTTCAAGTTACGATACCAGAATAGGGTTTTAAAGGTTAAAATGTAAACCCGATCAATAGCTAAAAAGCTGGGCCAGACCTGAAATTTTGGGGGCTTGTTCGACTAAGGGTAGGTGCGCTCTGAACCAAGTATCACCAATATGAAAGGCCCACCTATTTTAGCAAGCTCTATTTTTGTGAAGTTTTAAAAAATATTTTCCCAGTTTTTCACTTTTTTTCCCAATTTTTTTGCTTTTATGGATACAATCGTCTATAGGTAAGCCAAGAAACCTGGCTGGTCCCTTTCTCATTACACATGCCAAAGCCAAGGAATGCGACATTCAAAGTTGACAAAAGTTTCAAATCGCTATAGAATCTGAACGGTTTGGAGTTGCTAAAGAAAATTGCAGAGCCACTCAGAGGATCCTGAGTGGATTTACACCTATTTTTTGGGCCCAAATTTCCCTCAGGGCAGGTTGCGGGGGGGGGGCGGGGTAGGGCGAGGGAAATAGGGTACAGCTAGACATCCCAAGAGAGACGGAAAGACTGCGCGCCCGGGTTGGCTGCCTACCTTCACGGGGCGTCTCAGCCGATTCGCGCGCACAGGTTCAGTAAAATTGTGTGTAAAATTTGTGGGGATGTTCCTGACCACTAGGGCTACCTTCGAGCCAAATTTGGTCGAAATCGTCAAGTCACCCAGATCCGTGTAAATCTTATATGGAATGACCCATCTGGTACTTCAGTGGGATCCGGGACTTCGGCTTCCAGGGGGACTTACCCTTTTAGATAGGGCTACATGGGGTGGAGGAGGATTTCGGGAACGGATACAGCTAGGAGGGCTGCATGGGGTATTTTTTGGGAAACAGGGCGACAAGCAAAAACCCAAAGGTGCCAATTTCGAGCGAATCGGAGAAGTTTGGACCCCGGGGTTTAAAACCCCGTGGGGGGATTTTCAACATTCTTTTTATTCGAGTGTTTGCGTGGTGTCCCTGACGGGTCGCTGGGATGTGATTTGGAGCTCACATCATCCAAACTAGGTCCATTTCGTGTCTGTTGCATCCACCTAGCGTCCACCCCGCGTCCACGCAAGTCCGCGCCAATCCACATTTCGAGCTTTCTCCAGTCGGCATCCTGATCGCGTCCACTTCATCCCGAGCAGCCGCAGACGGATCATCCATTAAGCATCCGACACATCCAGGAGATCTACTGACGTCTAATTCACGTCCACCACGTCCACATAAATCCGCAAGGGGTCCACATTACATCCGCAAAATCCACACAAAAGTGACTGGGCTGCAACACCACATCTCCGTCAAGTCCAACACATCCACGAGACACCTAAAGTCCAGATGAAGTCCACAACATCCAAACGTTCATAATCCACATCACATCCAAGCCACTCCAACACATCCAGACTGCATCTACCACATCCAGACTGCATCTGCCACATCCAGATCGCATCCAAAGTACATCTATCTCATCCCGATCGCATCCCAAGTACATCCACCACACCCAAAGTGCATCCACCACATCCAGATCGTATCCTAAGTGGATCCACAACATCCGGATCGCATCCAAAGTGCATCCACCACATCCAGATCACATCCAAAGTGCATCCACAACATCCAGATCGCATCCAAAGTGCATCCACCACATCCAGATCGCATCCAAAGTGCATCCACCACATCCAGATCGCATCCAAAGTGCATCCACCGCATCCAAAGTGCATCCACCACATCCAGATCGCGTCCAAAGTGCATCCACCACATCCAGATCGCGTCCAAAGTGCATCCACCGCATCCAAAGTGCATCCACCACATCCAGACCACATCCAAAGTGCATCCACCACATCCAGATCGCATCCGTAAAGCGATCTGGTTGCGTTGAATGCGATCCGAGTGTAGCGGATGCGTTCAGGATGTAATGGATGTGCATAGGATGCGTTCATGGTGTGATAGATGTGCATTGGATGCGTTCAGGATGTGATGGATGTGCATTGGATGCGTTCAGGACGTGATGGATGTGCATTGGATGCGTTCAGGATGTGATGGATGTGCATTGGATGCGTTCAGGATGTGATGGATGTGCATTGGATGCGTTCAGGATGTGATGGATGTGAATTGGATGCGTTCAGGATGTGATGGATGTGAATTGGATGCGTTCGGGATGTGTTGGATGTGCATTGGATACGTTCAGGATGTGATGGATGTGAATTGGATGCGTTCAGGATGTGTTGAATGTGCATTGGATGCGTTCAGGATGGGATGGATGTGCATTGGATGCGTTCGGGATGTGTTGGATGTGCATTGGATGCGTTCAGGATGTTGTGGATGCACTTTGGATGCGATCTGGATATTGTGGATGCACTTTGGATGTGATCTTGATGTTGTGGATGCACTTTGGATGCGTTCAGGATGTGTTGGATGTGTATTGGATGCGTTCAGGATGTGATGGATGTGCTTTGGATGCGTTCGGGATGTGTTGGATGTGCATTGGATGCGTTCAGGATGTGTTGGATGTGCATTGGATGCGTTCAGGATGTGACGGATGTGCATTGGATGCGTTCAGGATGTGATGGATGTGCATTGGATAAGTTTAGGACGCACTCCAGATGTCCTGGTGGTTTCGGAAGCCAAGTGGAGATTGTGGATGTTGTCTGGACGGTTGATGCCTGTGGACGAGCTGGACTTAACGAGGATGCTGTGTGGACCATACCTCGCGTGAAGTTTAAGAGTACGTATTGTTCTTGCTCCTCTAACAAGGATGTGGTGGCCGAGTGAGTTAAGTTGTTGGCTAGTATGTGGAAGGTACCAGGTTCAACTCCCGGTAAAGGCTCACCAGTTTCGAGAAGTTCGTCACTCATCCAGGCAACATCAACACGACGAGTCGACAGGCTACAAGAAAGATCCATCCCATCCGCATCCGGAGGTCGTCCAGCTCACCCAGAGTAAAGGAGTCATCCATCATATCCAGAATAGGCCCTAATCACATCCAAATAACACCTTGGATGTGAAATGGATACGATCTGGATACGATGGATATGTTTTGGATGCGTTCGGGATGTGCTGGATGTGGTTTGGATGCATTTTGGATGTGGCGGATGCATTCTGGATGTGAAGGATGTGTGTTGGATGCGCAGTGGATGCCGGGGATGCGATCTGGCTCCGTTAGACACATTTTGGATGCGCAAGGAGAGCGTTGGATGCACTTTGGACTGCATGTGGATAGGTTGGATGAGAAATGGATACGTCGCAGTTGTGGATGGTCTGGATGTGCTCTGGACGTGTTTAAGACGTTGTTTGGACATCATTGTGGACTTTGCGGATGCTACCTGGATCGATTGTGGATCGATCGAGCTCGTCCTATTCGCATCCAATATGAAACAAATCGGATGCGATCTGGACGTCCAATCCACGTCCCCGCGACCCGTCAGGGGTCTGATGTTTTTGAGGGTGCTGATGCCGAAAATAACATCTTTTTTGACCCAGACTCAGGTTTAGGGCTAAATGCGCGAAAACCCCACATCTCTAAATGTACGGGGCGGGCCAAAGTTGCCGATGATATCGC